CATGCGGTTAGTCCCCTTTCAGACACGTCAAGTCTTGCTTTCAAGTCTGCTCGTTCGCTGGCGAAAGAGGTGGGAAGAGAGGGGAAGAGTACAGATACCACCGTACCGTCCATTCGTTTCAAGTTTTCTTGTTCTCTTTAGATCTTTTCGTTGCTTCCCATTTAAAGATCCAAGGACTTGAATTCAATTAAACTTGACGCGTGTGGAAGCAAAGAGAAAACACAAAAGAGAATGCGATAAAAATTGCTTTCAAGAATTGACGTGTCTGAAAGGGGACTTATGAAAGAAATAGTTATTGTTGTTGTATTTGAGTATGCATGTAATTATGTGCATATGTATGTATGCTGCCGTGAGTTGTAAATACCCTGCAGTACGGGGGAGTGACTACAGGACTGCTGAATCGGTAGCTACCTAATAAACACCGTCAATTACCGACCGACTACTTGCAGTGTATTCCATCGATTACTTTTACAAGGCAATGTCCTAGGCAGTAGTCACCATCGGCTCTCTCTGCACTATCGGCAGTTACTAAAGTAGTCACTTGCGTAATTTATGGGCGCCCTCTGTCGTAGTTTTTCGCTATTCTGCTTCGACTCTGCACTACCATGTGCACTACCACGGGTTAATAGAGTAGATACTTACCTAGGAGTAGTGCACATGGTAGTGCAGAGTCGAAGCAGAATAGCGAAAAACTACGACAGAGGGCGCCCATAAATTAAGCAAGTGACTACTTTAGTAACTCCCGGTAGTGCAGAGAGAGCCGATGGTGACTACCGCCTAGGACATTGCCTTGTAAAAATAATCGATGGAATACACTGCAAGTAGTCGGTCGGTAATTGACGGTGTTTGTTAGGTAGCTACCGATTCAGCAGTCCTGTAGTCACTCCCCCGTACTGCAGGATATGTACATTTGTGTGTATGTGCGTAGTATTTTTGGCAGTAATATGCACATACATACATATACATATATGTATGCATGTAAAAACGTTATCAGCTAATGGAGTACGTATGTATGTACATACATATGCATGGGGAAATGCATATTGGGGCATATTCGTATATGAAATAAAGTCTACTCTAAGTTTAAGTTTGTCAGTCCCAAATAAGAAGAAAGTTAGTTGCATTTTTTTTTTCACTGATGCCTAGTCCACTGAAAGTGATATGAAAAAGCTGAAACTAACTTTAGTGTCGGCTTTATTTTAACTATGCATATGCCCCATTACAGAGTTGGGCAAAATTTATTCAAATGACGAATAACAAATGAATAAATTGTTTTTCTTGTTATTCGTAAATAATAAATAATTTTGTTTATTCAAAAAAAAATTATTCGAATGACGGATAAATTATTTTATTCGTTATTCGAATAACTATTATCTTCATTAATTATTCGAATAACGAATAAAATAATAATAAAACAAGTAATTTATGTATACAGATATGTGCATATATTTATGTATAAAATGATAACCGTTTTTGTTACGATTTAACTCAAACCCCTGGATAGATTTAAATCAAATTTTCGGAGGTTATTCCATCTATTTATTGTACAATCAGGTTGCAATTCATAATGGTGCTGCAGTCGAAATCATTAGAAACCCCATATGTCTGGACTACTTTGTTTTTTATGTTTATATTATACGAATTTACGATGTCTCACGTCGTCATACACCCTAAATGCGACCTTGCATCTACCTCCGCTTGATGAAATTGCTCGGGCGGCCATTGCTGCAGCAGTAAGACTCAAGGAAACCAGCTCTTGGATATTTTAAAAGTGGCGAGTCAGCAAGGAAAGTTTCGACCACATCCTTCCAAGAAAGACCACTGTTGGTATATCAATGACCAAATTTTACATCGAGGATTTTTGGCTCTCCTATAATAGAAAACGCACATCTGTGCTCTTCAGCTTCCTGATAAGGACTTTTGTTGGCCTACATGACATAAGACTAGAGGTTGACGCATCGGACCAATGTTGTAGTTGCAAGATCATAGAAGATTACGCACGCTTAAAAAAGATCTCACAAGTGGAAATAAGACCATCGGTAAAGCTCATGACATTGAAAGGAATTTTTTCTTGCATATAGCATCAGAGCGCTATTATTTTGGCAGAAATATGTGTGAGAAGGGTTCTGCTCTTTAGTTGTTCAACCTAAATTAAGAATTTTTACTTTACCCATATTTGGTTTTCAACGCTATTCTTGCATTGGCCAACGCAAAAAATCTTATCAGGGGCCGCGAAACCAGAGGGAATGGGCTAGTATTCTTGAGAAAATATTAAACAGAATTCAGCTAACTCACAATCTTTGAAAATAGAAATGAAATTAAAAGGTGGCTCAGTGTGTTAAAAATGAGTTTTTATTCATTATTTAAAATAACGAATAAAATACATTACATTTACACATAATACGAGTATAGCAGTGAAAAATGATAATGCACAGTTTTTCTCAATATAAATAACTTTTCAACAAAAACAACCTTGAAGTTAACACGTGCAGTGCAATCAATGCATTTGTACGTTTTCTGTCAATGTATCCATCTTTAAAGTGAATTTGGGGAAAAACTAAGGCAGCTAGAAAACTGCGGTTTGTTGCGTTGAAAATAGCGTAGCATTTACCATATGAATCGGTAAAAAAGTAAAAGTCGATTTTTTCAACCCAAATGCCGGCGGCAAATCACCAACGAATTTGCCAATTGCATACTACATATTTGCATAACTTTCACATTTTAGATTCACAAAATTGCATCTCTCGCATACATATGCATGTACACAATATGTACATATTACATATTTCGACCTATGCATGCATTTATTTTAAATAATTAACCAATTTAAAGAACAATAAAAGCGTTGTAAAAACGTAAAAAGCCATCAGCATTTCATGTCTAACAAGAAAAATATGCATTTGCTTTGATGAGACAATTTCTATTAAATTTATTTTGCCTCTGGCTGGGCTCTGTTAAAATTCGATTGACTCTGGCTGGCCGCCCTTAAAATGCGCTTCGCCAGTTTTGTTGGTATTTGACAGTTTCCACGCTGATTCATTTTTGGACCTTCTCTATAAATATACGTTCTCTGCTTTCCTATTAACGATTCACAATAGAGCAGTTTTTCCACTTACCAACACTAGCCTTCCGTTCGCGTATTTTTTAACCGACCTGGCTGAGCTCGGATAAACAGCCGAGTTTGTGTTTTTGCTTTGCGTGTATTTCTTATGTAGCTCGGTTGCAAAAGAATGCACCTACTATAAATGTAGCAAAGCTATTTATGGAAAATTCTAGATATCAACCTAGTCTAGTTATCAACCTCGTTGTAGGCATCATATCAAGGAGATACAATTAGAAGACTAGATGTTGCCCCGCCAGAAGAAGTTAAATATTGCGCCTAAATATATGCACTATTTATATACGTCACAGCGGAAATGGACGACACCCCATTTTTTTAAATGAAATAAACTGCTGCTATATGTATGTATGTACATATGTATGTTTATACTACATAAATATGAGCAAACAACATTGTGCTTGCATAGTCTTCTGTTCTTTCACTGCAAGTTGAATTATTTTAATATCTTTTGCAAAATTTTGAACAGACAAGCATATATGTAATACTCCTATATTGGCAGTAAGAGCTAGTACCGTCCGAAAACACTACAATACAGATATATCAATAAACAGGTATGAAAGAGAAGGAAAACATACGTTTATAAATAAACATGTACACAACACATATACAAAAACGGCACTCAAGTACACAATACATTGACAAAAACGGTACTAGACTGTCTCGCTTTGATTTCGGAATGCTTATAGGGAATTTACATGAGGCGATTTTTCAGGCGATTATTAGTTGAAAGCAACAATCGCCTGGTGTAAAAGGCCTTTCAACTAATCGCTTACAATGAAGTTGGTCGGCTGCCTACTTTCGTTCAACTTTTGGTTCAACTAATCGCCTGTGATAGTTGAATCATGTAAATTCCCTATTACACATTGAGAAGTTAGCTTACTGCCAATATAGAAGTATTACATATATGCAGACAAGACTAAAAAGTAGAAAATAAATCAAATAAAATAAATCTTTTTAATATACAACGCTTTTATAAATGGACTAAAAAGTAGAAAATAATATTTCTCAGTCCCACAGAATTTGTTTTGATAACTTTTGATTTTGAAATTTTAGCAAACGTCATTATAAACAATTAATGACATTGAAAATGAAAAGCGAGGGGCGCATGTAATAGGCCTAATTTGAAATTGAAGAGTAATATATGTATGTATGTGGGTATATTAATAACGACCGCTTAAAATCGATCTCAAATTTGTACTTTCGCTGTAGAATGTTATGTAGTTTGACTATTGTCAATGAAAGCGAATACTTTGTACTGCATGCGCCGCACGATTTCATTTTCAATGTCACTAATTGTTTATGACTTTTGCTAAAATTTTAAAATCAAAAGTTATCAAAACAAATTCTGTGGGACTGAGAAATATTATTTTCTACTTTTTAGTACATTTATAAAAGCGTTGTATATTAAAAAGTTTTTATTTTTATTTTATTCTATGTTATAATGTAGCTGGCCCTCCACTGCGATCACCCTTCCAAACTTCTATTTCTCTTTACTCATGTAGTCACGCGCAGCTACGTTATCGCCAATTCTAAACTTCTTCACTTCTACCTCTCTTTGAGTTTTTCCGATAGGGTTGCTTGGTAGCAACAAGTCTAAACGTGACTGTATTTGACGACCGAACATTAGCATGGCAGGTGATTTATTAGTGATTGGGTGTATAGCCCTTCTGTATGCCAGAAGTATTCTGCATAGCTCACTCTATAAATAAGCGCTGGTGCAGTTCGCCGATGTCAATTTATTTTTCACCGTCCGCATAAACCGTTCAGCTTGCCCATTAGTCGCTGGATGGTGAGGCGCACCTTGTTTATGGACGATGCCGTTTCCTTTCAGGAAAATTTGGAATTCTCTAGAATTAAATTGTGTCCCATGGTCACTTACCAAGGTGTTCGGAACACTAAAACGGGCGAAAATTTCTTTACCCTTCTGTATTGTTGTTTCTGCATTTATGTTTGTCACTACATGGACTTCTGGCCACTTACTGTAGGCGTCAACTAACACCAGTAAATTTTTTTCCTAAAAATGGGCCCGCATAGTCAATATGGACGCGTTCGAATGCCTTACTTGGCTGCATCCAGCAATGTACCTTCTTTGGATCTGCGCGTATTTCTTGACACTGAACACGGTCAGATACAAGCGTTTCTATGTCTTTGTCCAAACCACCCCACCAACAATATGCCCGCGCTAGTGTTTTCATTTTTGACATACCAAAATGCGCAGTATGTAGTTCCGCTAGTACCTTCTCACAGAATGGTCGTGCTATGTAAACGCGTATACCACGAAGTAAACAGCCGTTTTGCAAGGTAAACTCTGTTTGAGTTATTCCGAACCGCTCCTTGGGTTCACATTCTTGCCCATATTTCAGGCATTGTATTAATTTGGCGACTTCTTTATCTACTCTAGACGCTTCATTAAGGTTCGCCGCTGTGACCGGTAAGTTTTCGATTGCATTACGTTCGATCAAATCTACTTCTTCCCAACGGTTGTCAATTTCCTGGCTTGGTAAACGCGTCAATGCATCCGCTTTTGCGTTTTCTTTTGACTTTTTTGTTCGGATTTTGTAATCGAAATGTGACAGGTATATAGCGTAATGCTGCGTTCGCGTCGCTGACATTGTCGGTAGCCTCTTTTGGGGCGAAAATATTTGTGATATGGCTTTGTTATCTGTTACCAATACAAGTGTTTGGGATGCAAACTGCAAAGTCCTTTCCGATCAATCTTTGTATACGTGGCTAAGCACCGCTCCTACTCCGATCGGACTCGCGTCTACCGCTAACACTAGCGGAATTTTTGGGTCATAGTGTGTAAGCACTAGTTTGGACTGCATTTGCTTTTTAACCTCGGCAAAAGCATTTTTGCACCTATCATCAAATTTAAACTGGGCATTGTTCTTCAATAAACGAAACGCACGAAACGCCCGTAGTAGTTTACTAAACACAAAAATGAGCGCAATTCTTCTTTATTGGCTGGTGTCTTAATTTGTAAAATTGCTTGACATTTGGACTTCATTTCATGGATGCCAGCTTTGTTAATGACATGGCCGCAGTACTCTATGGAGTCTTTCATGAACTCGGACTTTCCAGGGGTTCTGCGTATGTACGTTTACTGTGCGTGGTGTCGTCGCTCGCTGTTATTTTGATATCGTCTAAGAAGACCGATACCTCTGGAATATCTCCAAGTAGTTGATCGATGAACCGCTGCCAAATTGCTGGCACCGATGCGATGCCGAACTTCAGTCGAGTAGGTTGATAAAGTCCCCTATGTGTTGTTAGTGTCAATAAGTGTCTGTCTTGCAAATACGCTTTTGAAAGGTCGATTTTTGTAAATTTAGCGCCCCAGCCATCTTACTAAATAGCTCTTCAATTGTAGGTAGGGGATGTTCATCTATCGCTAACCCTTGGTTTACCGTCACCTTGTAGTCCCCACAGATGCGTACCGTACCATCGCTTGTTTGTACCACGACGATCGGCCAACAAACCCTCTTTGACCTGATTTCCCAGTTCATCTTCTACTTTTTTCCACAGTGGAAATGCTACGCGTTGCGGCTTAAAATATTTAGGGGTTGCATTCGGCTTCATATATAGCCGTGCCTGAAAGCCGGTTATTTTGCCTACTGAAGGTGAAAATAAATTCGGAAATTTTTTCTTCCACCTTCCCACATAATCCTCATTCATAACCGTGTTCTCTTGTATATAGTTCAATTGTTCGCTCATCATTTTTGGCCAGTCTAGTTTAATTTGCCGCGACCTACCAATGGCTTCCTATCCGACCTTACAATATATTATCTGACGCAACTTTGACCAGATATATCCAACAAACTTTCGTGGCGTTTTGCAGTAGCTGTACCGCGTCTGACAAACTAATTATTGTCACTGGGGCACCTGTGTCAATTTCGAAACGAATTTTCGCGCCGCTCACGTCGAGGTCACATTCGATTTTATCCCGATGGTTTCGATTATCTCCAAGTTGAAATAATTCGTCGACTAACACGTATTTTTCATTTGTTTCACCATCTATATTATTTAGTTGTCGATTTTCTTTAAAGCATACTCTGCGCAAATGTCCTTTTTTTGCAAAAATTACAGATCGTGTTTTTGTACACACATTTGTTAGCTATATGTGCAGAGCTACCATATCGAAAACATTTTTTCCCTGTATTATTGGTGCGGGGTTTCGACGTTCCGCTTTCTCTTTTCTCCGCTTTTTATACCTTTCATGAGCATGAAATGGTATTATAACTTTGGTCCGATGTTTGTAGAGAACCCGAACAAAAAGAGATAGACCCATTAAAATGTATACTTATATGATCAGAACGTCGAGCTGAGTTGATTTAGCCATGTCCGTCTGTCCGTCTGTCTGTCTGTCCGTCTGTTTGTATGCAATCTAGTCTCTCAGTTTTCGAGATATCCGTATCAAATTTGGTAGGTGGGTGTATTTTTATAATGCATTAATCATTTATCGGAACCGAAAGAATCGGACCACTGTAACATATAGCTCCCATACAACTGATTGTTCAGATATGAGATTTTTCGTTATAACTTCTCCATTTATGCAGCTACGAACATGAAATTTTGCAGTACTTGCACTCATTATCAACAGAATACTTACAATGAAAATAACAACGATCGGGTCACTATAACCTGCAGAACCCATACAACTTATTGTTCAGATATGAGGTCTTTTATCATAACTCCTCCATTTATGCAGCTAGGAACATGAAATTTCGCACCATTTTCACTCATTATTAACAGAATACTTACAGTGAAAATAACAAGGATCGGATGACTACAACATATATCTTCCATACATCTGATTGTTCAGATATGGGATTTTACTGTAAAACTTCTTTATTTGAACAGCTAAAACCGATAAATTTCGTAAGATATTTTATAAATAATAATACAAAGTCTACTGAGAAAATCATCAAAATCTATGCTGTATAAGCTTTATCTCCTATAGCACTGATTGTTCAGATACCAGTTTTTGCCATATATCTCCTTTATGTAGGAAACTAAACCCAATAAATTGTGTTACCGGTTTACATACCGATCACATAGCAGTGAAAATCACTTAGATTGGTGCCATATAAAGTACAGTATATTTTGCTTTGCTGCCTTTATGCTTAAGTGCACATTTAAGATACCTACCCCAAAATGCGCATCTGAGACATTATTTTTAACATTTATAAGGAAACTGCTCCGATAGATGCATTCAACATACCTGCACATTGGCGATAGCTGCCTTAAAAATTGTGCAACTAGTATCAATTATCAAAGAAAGTATTACGTTTACCTGCACTGGCCTACAATTACCTAATTTTACAAGCTTTTATTTATTTTACTCATATCGCAGAACAACGGAAATGGCTATCTATTTTTCTAGTTATATAGATAATAAGATACCATTCGAAAAAAAATTTCGCTTGCATTATTTTCTATGTGATAAGTGCTTCTCCATTATTTGGTTTCATAGGGATTCGGATACCTTCCTCATTGAAGTAGTAAAGAAAATTCGCTTAAGTGCCCTTTTCGGTTAGGTGCACAAGTTTTTCGTGCAAAGAAGGATGTGCAGCTAAGCAAAATATACTGTATATCTTCCATACCTCTGATTGTTTAGATGCGATTTTTTATATAAGTATGTAACTCCTATATCGATATATGCAAATGTATTCAAAAGCAGTAATCTGTCAAAGTAAAATTTGCAGATGTTCATGAAAGGTATGAAGCCTTCGGCATAGCCGAAGACAGCGCTGCTCTTACTTGTTTATGATCCACTTTGTCACTACTTGCATTTTGCTTTCTTTCGTGAACCATGTTCACGTTCATTTTCTCCGTTTCTACTTTTTGGTTCATTTCAACCCCGCCTTTTTCTGCTACCTCGTATGACTTTGCTGCGTTTATTTCTTCTGCCAAGGTTAAAGTTTTTTTTTCCAATAACCTACTTTGTATGTGCTGACTTCTCCGGCCAAAAACAAACTGATTTCTTAGAGCCGTGTCCAAGAAACTACCAAACGCGCAATTTGTCGACAATCTCCGTAATGCCATTAAATACTCCTCACAATTTTCTCCTTGCTTCTGCTGTCGTAAATTAAACCTGTAATTTGCCAAAATTTCATTTGGGCTTGGCTCAAAATGTTCCTATAGGACTTCCACAATCTTTTCGTATTTTATAGTTTCGGGATCCTTTGGCACCAATTTGTCGCACAGCACATTATAAGCTGTAGCACCCATGTAATGTAGAATATATTGTTGCTTTTTCGCGCTGTCGCTTCCAAATATCTGTATCGCTGTTTCGAGTCTTTTAACCCAACGCGACCACGTTATTGTCTCCGGATTAAACGGTTCAAAAGTAAATACCGCCGGTGTAGCTGAATTTTGCGTCATTTCGCTCGAAGTTGTAAAAAAATGATTTAACCCAAGCACATGTAATGTAAAAAGTGTGGCTATAATCTCGCACGCGGTTTAATGTCTACTTATTCGATTTTTGCTCGTCGCCAATAATTGTCGCATTCGTGAAATTAAGTGTACACGTTGAGTGCCAATTGCAGACTGATATTTGCATTTTATTTCTTTTCTTTCCTTTTAATGTTATTCGTTATACACTATACGCCAATAGGTTATCAAGAAATGGTCAGATTTCAAATCGGTGAAATAGGTGAAACAATATAAGCGTCTAAACATTTTCTTGACTCATTCTCAACGCTTCTACATATATATAATTGCTCAGTCGTACGACTTAGTTAGGGCGATCTGGAGCAGCTATTGAATTGGCATATATATATATGTATATATATATATTAAAGTGCAAGCTCCATAGGTTATCCAAAAATGGTCAGATTTCAAATCGGTGAAATAGGTGAAAAAATATAAGCGTTTAAACATTTTCTTCACTCATTCTCAACGCTTCTATATATCTATATATAACTGCTTAGTCATACGATTTAGTTAAGGCGATCTGGAGTAGCTAGAGAATTGAGTTATATATCAAATTAAAGTGCAAGCTCCATAGGTTATTCAAATAAAATTGTCAGATTTCAAATCGGTGAAATAGGTGAAAAATTATAAGCGTTTAAACATTTTCTTGACTCATTCTCAACGCTTCTATATATAACTGTTAGGGCGATCTGGAGCAGCTGGAGAATTGGGTTATATATCAAATTAAAGTGCAAGCTCCATAGGTTATCCAGAAATGGTCATATTTCAAATTATATAATTACTCAATTATATAATTACTCAATCAAACGACTTAGTTGGGGCTCTCTCTGGAGTACCCGGCAGTGAAAAGCCAAACAAGTTAGAAAAAATACTATTTCGTTAACTAGTATGTGCCTACCAGTTCGACAATTTCGAAGAACTTAGGCGATCAGCGACATCTGCCTTTGAATTGCCAAAGCCAAAAATAAAACGCAATTGCTTTTCTTACAAATGTCGGCTGTGGCGTCACGTGAAGACTACTAGTTCTGGTTCGGAAATCGCAGGTTCGAGGCCGCTGCGAGGTTAAGATTTTTAAAGTTAGATAAATGTAAGTAAAAATAATTTATTCAATTTATATATAAATAACAAATTTGAAAATCTGATTGCATTGCAAAAAAACATTTAGGAAGAAATGCTTGTG